GAAGAAAGAAGAAAAGAATTTCTTTAGGTTTATCCGTCTTGAAAAGTTTGATAGCAAAAATTTTCAATGGGTTATAGTTGAATATTAGTCTTCTTGATTAACTTGTTCATAAATTGTAAATGTAGTGCAACTCAGTTCTCAACAGAAATATTGAGTAAATGAAAAATAAAAACTGTCCTTGCTGCATCCTTTTGCCTATAACATATAATTCAAGTGTTTCTTGGAGATGAAGTTCTAACCTCATGTGGCTAGTGCTTTTTCCTTTTGTCTTCCTCTGGATATTCACATTGCATCGACTTGAAAAGTTATCAAGAACGATCTCTTGCGTTGTGTTCATTTTTGAATTTGATTAGGAACTGCTAAATTTCTGCTGTAGTGTTTTTTCCCCCAATAGTTTTGTATTATATATTATATGTAATTACATCTATTTGCAATCTAGGTAATGATAAACATATGTGAATTGAACAATGTATTTTTCTTTAGATTTCAGAATGGCTGCTACAACAATGCACAGTGCCATCGGGTCTGTGCAGGCCCACAGAGCTCAAATAAGCTCAAGCTCTCAAAATGGAATGGGAAGTTTTTCTGTCAAGATGGTTTCTAAGTGTTTTGGGATTGATATGAGACTTCTCGGAAGGGGTAATTACTGTTCAAGAGGCTTGAAGTTGGGTGGTGTTCATGCTTCAACATCCTCGATAGCTGATTCAGTCCAAGCACCATCAAACAGCAAAACTACTGATTCACAGAAGAAATCAAGTGACTTACTATCACTTTTATGAGCTAACTCGTTTTATATAAAGTTTTCTATACGTTATACTCTTTGTGAGCTGAACTTTTATGGGATGATTAAACCGATATTTCATTTGTTTATAGATGAAACTGCTCTTATATTGATTCGCCATGGTGAGTCCTTGTGGAATGAGAAGAATCTGTTTACTGGTTGTGTTGATGTTCCTTTGACCAAAAAGGGTGTCGAGGAGGCGATTGAAGCTGGTAAAAGAATAAGCAATATTCCAGTTGATATGATTTATACATCTGCTTTGATTCGCGCCCAAATGACCGCTATGCTTGCCATGACCCAGCATC